GAACATAGAGGAAAAGGAGGTGGAAAGATTGTAAGAGCTAGAGGGTCAGGGGGTTTCTTGTGAGACTGTATCTCCTAGTAATGTCAGAAGCATAGTCTTTCTTCAAATGCACCTGTTTGTGGTATGTAACAATTTACAACCTAGCATGAAACAGCCAAAAAAACAGATCTTCTCTCCTTGCCCCCACCCCAACATTGCTGACTATACTGCAGGACAGTGGGGCACACTGCCTGTGTTTTACAGCTATGAGCTTAGCTTTCCAGGAGCGGTTTGGGGGGAGGTATCTGAGTCTCTGTGCCTTTGTTTCTTTACCTATAATGGGAGTAAGACAATCACACTGCAGGATTGTGATGACAGTGGAATGAGATTTGTGAAGCATTGAAACGATGCTGTGTGGTGTTATATAAGTGTTAAGGTAAAAATAAATGAGCCAACTCTAGCTGGCTAGGCTCTGCCTTCCTCAGCACTCTGGACAAAAACTGAGGCCATCAGGGATGCATCAGGGAAGCAGGGAGAGGGTACCAAAGACAGCCAAAAGGCCGGTTGGAAGCAGCCTCAGCCTCCCAGGAGGTGGGGCTACAAGGAAGAGCTCTTAAGCCTATGACCCATGCCATATCCTGCACAGACCTGGATTAGAGGATCCCTTCCCACTCAGGATGTTGACACCTAGAGCAAGGCAGGGTGGCAGTCTTTTTTTTTTTTTTTTTTTTTGGCATCTTTAGGGAGAATGTAAACTTCTCCCTGTTCCACAATTCCCTTCCCAGAGTCATTATGCAAGCTCTGCCTATAGATTCATATCCAGCTCCAGCCACACCCCAAGATTCTGCTACACCCCAGCTCCTTCTGTGCCCCCAGCTCCTGTTGTATCACCAGCCTCTGCTACAGCTACAGCTCCTACTATAGCCCTCAGCTATGCTGTATCCTCCTCCTGCTACACCCCCAGTTCCTACTACAGGCCCCAACTCCTTATGTACCCTAGTTCTTGCTCCACCCCCAGATCCTGCCATTTGCCCCAGATTACACTGTACTCTCACTCCTGCTACGTCACCAGCTCCAGCCCATCCAGCCTGCCCCCTTGTGAGAAAGAGACCGTTAGAACCTGCAGCCTTTCCCCAGTCCTTGGTGCTGTTCTTCCAAAGAACAAAGTGAGCCAGTACCAAGAAGAATAGGGGCCTGCAGCCAGATAGTGACCCACCCCTGTATTGTAGCCAGGACAATGGCCCCATCACCTGCCCTCCTCCCAGTTTCTGTGCCTCCTGCCACTTAGACCCTCCATCCAAATTCTGACTCTGATTTGGTAGGACTAAGTTGACCAACATACCGGCAGGAACCATGACCAATGCCACAACTGAGCAGCTCTCAGCTTCATGCAGCCTCAGTGGCCTTGCTTCTCCTTATGGCCCTCTTCTTCTGCCAACCAACCCCAAATGAGACATCGGGCACAGCAAAGGAAGCCAGATCTGAGCCCCCACCTCACAGCTCTCCAGATTTCATTCAGGGTCCTCATTCACCCTCAAACAGAGTCTAAAAGTGGACACCAGGCCCATGCATGTGCCAGTACAGTCCTCCTGATTCACATTAGCTCCATACATGACAAAAACAGCTTCCCCAGGGCTGTTTTGGTCCAGACACCCAAAAGGCCCCTCCTGGACAGTCAGCCCCAACTCAGCAGCCAGCCAGCAGCTGAGGTAGAGCTAAAACAGAGACATGAAACACACACACACACACACACACACACACACACACACACACACACCATATACTGGTAAGCAAACACATTCACACAGGCATATACCTATGCATATATAAGCTACCTCTAGCATCTCTGAGACATTCCTTCAGGTTCTCTGCTATACAGCCCCACATGTGTGCAGCAACACACCCAGGCTACACCTACACAGGCCCAGGCCCACATAAGCACACCGTTGGTAAACACCAATCCTCACACCCACATCCCCATTCAGAAGCTCCTATGGGCACCCACAGCTATTCTCAAAGAAAGTAATTACTAAAATCACAGGAATCCCAAAGCTTCCCACAAGGCTCAGTCCTTAAAGGGGGCTCAGAAGCCACAATCTAGACGACAGACTGTCACCCTCAGGATCCTGGGGAAGGAAAGAAAGGTCCCTCTGCAAACATTACAAGAGGGTGCAGTACCCCTGGGCAGGCCAGGCAAGAGACAAATCATATCTGGCCAGCTCAACAGCCCTGAAGCCCCACTGTTGATGCCTCATGAATCTTTCAGAGGTCTTCAAAGTGTGCATGGAGACTTCTGGTCAGCATTGGTGGACGCTGCTGTAAATTATTCACTAACCCAGCATAGGGTGGTGTTCCCGACCCTCACCCCACCCCATACACTGCCTTCAGAGATGTGCCTCAGGATTGTGTCCCCTACTCTGGAGGTGGCCATCATGGATACCATGCTAGGCCTGGGATCTCCTTCAGCCAAACAACAACCCCAACTTTGATACAGTCACCCCTGCAAGGCCCCTGGGCATTCTCAGCCATGGCGATACATCATTATCCCACAACCTTCCAGTCTAGCTGCCTACCATGTACCCCAAGCCAATGTCGAGGAGCCAGCCTTCAGTCTCCCTGTGTGTGTGCCACCTTTCCTTGGCTCCCACTTCTCTCTGCCCTAAGTTGCCCTCCATCTCATCCCTGGCTCAGGCAAGAGCAGAGGCGTGTACAAAGGTCACTGTATGCTCATGCTTCAAACCAGGGCTAGGCATCCCTCAGGCAAGCAGATGCATCTCTCACCCATTTTATCTTTCAGCTCTGATATGTGGTCAGTGGCTACTATCCTCTGATGTCCCTCCTGACCTAAGTGTGGGCAGCTCATGGAATTCCCGGGAACCCCAGGAGGAAGTGGAGAATCAGCCCTCACCCTCTGAAGAGATATAAGAAGCCCCAACTCAGAGGACAAAGGGAATGTCCTAGCAGTCTCAGAGGTGGCTCCATGTGTTGGCCTCACTGACTACAGCCACCAGGGACTCAGCCCAGCTTTCTGTCTCCTCCAGTGTACCATAGAGCTCTGCCCTGAACTGGAGTAGAGACCACAGTAAGGCCCAGAACCCTTTAGGCCTCAGACCCAGGAATTTGTGCCTGCCTTCATCATCACATCCTTGAAGAAGGACCCAAGGCCTAAAGACCTTCCCCAGAGGTCCCACCCTCTAGGCAACCATAGTCAACAGACACTCATTTACCAGTGACTCCAGCAGGAAGCAGGAGTGCAATCCAGGGAGTCTTTGGAATGTATCTGCCTAGTGAGGGACATGCCACTGTGACCAGCTGGCTGAGCAGAACTGGGACAACCTGTAGTGTTTGTGTAGCCAGTTTTCCCAGAGGACACCAAAGTTTGCTACAGCAACAAGGGACAAAAGGATGAGGCAGGGTCTGCCTACAGGGCTTCCTTTAACAGGGGCTGTGTCTTACATTTGTCCTGTCTCAGGCTAATGAATTTCCTTAATTTGACTCCAATTCTAAGAGGATTAAGTGTTAAAACAACTTCCTGTGCCTGACACATTCCACCTGATCCCTCCTGCCAATAATGGTGGCCCAGGAAAGATCCAGAACTGGCCAGATGTCCAGGAGATACCTAGTGTCCTTGAATAGAGTCATCAGACAAAATACAGGACACCCAAATCAGAATTCCAGATAAACAATGAACTCCTTTTTACTATAAATGTCTCAAATCTTTTATATTAATAAGTATCTGCCTGGTGATTGTAGTGCACACCTTTAGTCTCAGTACTTGGGAGGCAGAGACAGGTAGATGTCTGCGAGTTCAAGTCCAGCCTGGTCTACAGAGCAGGTCCAGGACAGCCAGAGCTACACAGAAAAACCCAGTCTCAAAACAAAAGTATCTGATATTCATCTGAAGTTCAGATTCACCTGGGTATCTATATCGAACAGCCTTCCCTCGGAGGCTCATTAGTTCAAACCCACCCTGTGTGGGTCTGTGGCCGTTCAGCACAGCCCTAAGGAACCACTCTCCCAAACACATCACTTCCTCACCATGCAGGCTTCCTCCTTTCCTATCCTGCCCCCATGGAAGCCGAGGTGCCCATTCTGCTTGTGATTAGGCACGAGAATTCGGACTTATGTGCACATTTCTCTGGATGTCAGTATGCCCATCACAGCTGCTTTTTCTGTCTTCAACTAGTGTAGAGGCTGAATGTATTGAAGTTTTCAGGAACCTGACACTTGAAACCTGGAACAGCAGCTGTGTGCAGGGAAGGATTTTTGACGATGTGATTGAGGAGGTGGGAGCTTTTCTGGGCTCTCCATATATGCTCTACATACAGCCAC